AAGGGAAGGGACGAAGGAACACGAAGATAACCAAAGGGAAGAGACAAAGGGACCCCAAGGGAAAGAACGAAGGGACACGAAGGTACCCAAAGGGAAGGGACGAAGGGACCTAAAGGGACTGGAGAAGATGGGAATGGAATAGACCCAAGGAAGGGTAGGGAAGGGAAAAGACAAAGGCACCAGAAGGAAAGGGAAGAAAGGACCCGATGGGATTGGACGAAGGAACCCGAAGGGAAGTGACCCAAAGGGATGCGAAGGAAAGCCACAAAGGGACCCGAAAGTAGGGAGGAAGGGAGTTGAAAGGAAGGGATGAAGGGACCCAAAGGGACTGGTGAAAGGGAAGGGGAGGAAAGAGGAATGGAGGGGAGATAAGAGGAGATGTGAGGAAGGAAGGAAAGGGACCCAGGGAAGAGATGGGATGGGAGGGGATGAAGGGACCTGACGGGATGGGAAGAGAAGAGAAGGGAAGGGACCCAGGGAAGGGACCAAGGGACCCGAAAGGAAGGGACAAAGTGACCGAAAAAGAAGGAACAAAGGGACCACAGGGAAGGGAGGAAGGGACCCTAAGGGAAGGGATGAAGGGGGACAAAGGGACCGGAAGACACCCAAAGAGAAGGAACAAAGGGACCCTAAGGGAAAGGACGAAGGGACCAGAAGGGAAGGCACAAAGGGACCCGAAAGTAGGGACAAAGGGAGCTGAAGGGAAGGGATGAGGGGACTGGATGGGACTGGTGAAAGGGGAAGAGAGGATTGGGGAACGGAGGGAAGGGACCCAGGGAAGGGAAGGGACGAATGGACCCTAAGGGAACGGACGAAGGGACCTAAAGGGAAGGGACTAAGGGACCTGAAGAGAAGGAACGAAGTTACCCAAGGGAAGGTACCCGAAGGGAAGGGACAAAGAGACCCAAAGAGAAGGCACCAGAAGAGAGGGCACTAAGGGACCTGAAGGGATGGCACGAGGGACCGGAAAGAAAGGGATGAAGGGACCTGAAGAGAAGGAAGAAAGGGACCTCACCGGACAGGAGGAAGAGAAGGGAAGAGGGGAAGGGAAGGGAGGAAGGGACCCAGCGGACATGAGAGGAAGGGAAGGGAAGGGACCCAGGGACGGGAAGAGTCCCAGGGAAGGGAAGGGATCCAGGGATAGGAAGGGACCCCAAAGGACCTGAAGGAAAGTGAGGAAGAAACTGGATGAAGGGACCCTATGGGATGGGAGGGAAAGGGGAAGACTGGACGGCAAGGGAGTCAGAGAAGGGAAAGGACCCAGGGAAGTGAAGGGATCCAAAGTGAAGGGATGAAGACACCCGAGGGAACCTGAAGAGAAGGGACCAGAAGGGAAGGCACAAAGGGACCTGAAGGGAAGGGACCTGATGAGATGGAAGGAAGTGAAGAGAAGGGGAGAGGAGGGGAGAGGAGGGGCCCAGGGAAGGGATGGGAAGGGACCAAGGGAAAGGAAGAGAAGAGAAAAGAGAATGACACCTACCCTGGGATGGCCTGGCAACTAGAAGAAATTCTTGAAATCAAGCTTAATGCTACAACCACTTTCTCAACCCAGTAATTAGGAAGAGGCAAGGTCAGACCAATAGTTGGGAAGGCAGAAGGGATTAAGAAAAGATCACTTTCTTTTTTCTTAACCCCCCCCATATTGTGCTCTATCCCTACCATAATGGCACTGGCTCACTTTAATTATTGTGCTACGTTCCACTCACAACTGTCCAAGGGAACAACAATGGACAATTAAAAAACATTCTCTTTTCAGGTAGATACAGACTTACTCCATAGGAAAAGCCACCCACAATTCGAAAAGTTTGGCTTTTATCATTCCAGTACAAGGTCAGATTTTTATTCTTACCCTCAAGCCTGAGCAGCTTCAGTCACCTAGACTATTCCCCATTTTGAAACAATTTTTGAAAACCTTCCTTTTACAGTGACTCCTTCTGACTGTTGGGTCCCTAAAAATCAAGCCTAGAACCGAATCCTCCCCACCCCCATTCTATAATCTCTAGCTATTTCATACTGGTATAATCGGTAACAAACTGTCCAAATCAAGAGTTATCCTTTATCCTAGGACAATGTTCATTTCAACTGCAGGGGCCCCATGGAGCAAAGACAAGACTGACTTGACTATCTCCTTCTCTCAGTTCAGTGCCTGACTTACAAGGGTGGGGATGAGAGGGAGAGAAGACAGAAAATTTTAGAATGAGTTACTTCTGTGAAATTGTCCTCAGATTTTAGCTAGAGAATTCCCAGACCGAATGTGCTAGGTCACAGGAGACATAAGACTGGTATACATGGCTAAGTCTAAGGTCATGAGGCCACGATGAAACCCACCCCCCTGACAAGGAATAATATGGAAGAGCAGTGTTTGTTAGTCTCTTGTTCTCCAGTGCATCAGAGATGAGTGGAGGACAAGGAAGAAAGGTAAAAAACAGAGGCCTGGATGGGGAGCAGGCCTGGGATCTATGCTCCTGGAGAGATAGTTTGCTAACAGATGGAGAAAAAACAAATTCCGGTAGGGTCATGAGCCAAAAGCATTCTTTTGTGGGATTACTTCCTGGCCAGTTTTGCCTCTCTACTTCCTCTGCAGCCCTCAGAATACACATAACTGACCAGCTCTGTTCTCCTGCCTGTGGGAACCAGGTAGAAAACAAAAACACTACACATGAGAAGAGTCCAGCCAATACTGCTTAACAAGCACTCACCTTGATTCCGTTAAAATTGTCAACGGCCAGAATTGTGCTCCTCTGGTCTTCATAGCAGAGGAAACAGAATCCTTTGGATTTCCCGGTCTTCTTGTCCCGCACGAGATTAATGTTAACAATCTCCCCATATCTATTGATTTTTAAAAGAATAAGACACTACTGACTTAAAATGTGAAAACTTACAGATGGGGTAATAAAACAAAATTAAATAATATACTCTGTACAGCAGACACATTTAAAATAAGATGATGTAGAAAGGTTAAACATTAGAAGTCAGACAAGAAAAGGAACACTCAAGTAAAAAAACTGGTGGCAATATCAAGATCAAAGTCAAATTCAAGGCCAAAATAAAAACATTTAGTGGAACCCAGAAGTATTTTACATTGAAAAAGGTCCTAATATACATTTAAAGGTCTAAGTCATAAAATTCCATGCATCAATTAGGAAATCAAAAAATTTTAATTAAAAAACTATTAGAAATGCAAAGAAAGGTTTGGCGCCCATATCTCAGTGGTTAGGGTGCAGGCCACATGCACTGGGTCTGGCAGGTTCAAACCCGGCCTGGGCCTGCTAAACAACAACAATGACAACTACACCAAAAAATAGCTGAGTGTTGTGGCGGGCACCTGTAGTTCCAGCTACTTAGGAGGCTGAGGCAAGAGGATCACTAGAACCCAAGAGTTTGAGGTTGCTGTGAGCTAAGATGCCATGGCACTCTATCAAGGGTGACAAAGTGAGACTCTGTCTCACAAAAAACAAAAAAAGAAGAAATAGAAAAACTAAAAGAGAAAGTTATGAGAAAATTTATCACTTTGAAGTATATAACATACAAAGTTGACAGAAATAAGATCAGAAAAATTAATAAATCAATATATAATCAATATATAATTCTACGATATAAATACAAATATTTATATTAACAAATATTCTCCATGATTGCATTAATGTACACAGCTATCATTTAATTAAAAAAATAAATAAATAAACAAATATTAAGTCAGACTATTAGATACACAGATTATTTAGGAATCCTACAAGATGAAAATTTATTTTGAAGAACTCATGAAACATGTATTAAAACTGACTATAGATCAGCTTTCTTTTTTTTTTT